TATAGCGTAATAACACCACACAGTATTGTTGGAGGAGAAATATTAGTGCGTCTGGCCTTGAGGGCGGCAGCCATCAGCTGACTGTGTGAGGTCCTACGTCTTTGTGCCTTTGCTCACCATACAAGCTTAGATGTACAGTACAGTTATGGTGAACAAAACATGTAGATACTTATATATAACGTCTGTATATAGTGAATTATAGCAAAAACAGTATTGTGGGAGGAGAATGTAGGCGAGTCAGATGACTTGAGGGAGGGCGGGAGTGGGTGGCTGGCTGGTACACGGTGGTCACTCCTCGTTACTTTTTGACTCATAATACTGTAGCTACTTAGTGGTTCGTTATAGTGAACAAAACATGCAGATACTTATATATAACCTGTGCTTATAGTGTAATAACCGACAAAGTATTTGTTCACTGATTGATGAACATAATTGAATCAACAATATGCACACCATATTTTTGAGTACAGCAATGATTCACTCATTTTATTATATAAATATATCAAACTACACACTATTGAATAATATTACAGCAAAAAAACTATGAAAAATCAATCAGAGACATTGAAATAATTAGGTAATTATCTCTTTGTGGCAACTCCGGCCTGACAGCTGGCGAGCAACAGACCGCCTGGGACGCACGCTGAGTCAGTGCCTATAATTTGCCAGACTTCCCCGCCCTATAGCGGGCAATATATGCCACTTATGATTTTTTTTATTATTTTTCCCGTGATCAGTGAACACAAATTAACAGGTTAGGAAGAAAAAATAATTTTTTTTTTCAAAATTACATGCGCCTGTGGGGAAGAAAGGATATTATACCCCTAGCATTTTAAGGGTTAAAGACTGCGACTGACATCCTCAAAATAGCAAAATAACTCCCCCACAATGAAAACAAACAAGCAAACTTGGTCCAACTAACCCCCCGCTCATTAGCACCATCCCCATCCCTGCAGGGAAACCAGCCTGAGTAAGCAGGGCCGCCCGCCAGCCAGTTCTTTGAATGATGAAAACTGCCGACCGGAGGAAGGAATGGTGTTAGGGAGCCTTTGGGGCTCACCCAGAAACTGGCATTTCATTACATTCAGCGCTGGTTTTCTGTGGGGAGTCCCGTTGGCTTTCTGAAGCTAACTACCCACAGAGAAGGAAAACCAGGGACTTATTAGGGAGGCAGCAGCACTGCAGGTCTCAATCCAAGGAAGAGACAGTCAGTCATGACAGGCGGCTCAAGGCAAGACAAGGCTGCAGAGAGCCTGGGACGTACAGCAGATACCTGGTGGCCAAGACCCCAATAGACCTCCAAAACCCAAGACATAATCCCAAATGCTGTTGAGAGAGTGGAATGTTTGAAATGCCATGATGTTTGGAATGGTCCAAACATCATGGCACGAGGCAAAACCGCAGGCTGTTTAGATTCAATGACACTGCAGACGACCTGAGACACACAAGCTTTGAAACAGAGATCCAGGGAAACTGGAACAACCCAGAGCATGCCTACTGACACACAACCAGTGGCCCGCACGTAGTGGCACCAAGCAGCTACCAGTCACAGACCATAATGCACCCTCAACTGAACCAATCAAGCATCCATGACCAACGGACCCCTCCAGAAGCCCGCAATCTCAATCTTCCCCAGAAAAGAAGGAGCCGCCTACAAACAAAAAAAACGACCACCAGGACCAAAAGAAGAGAACCTTTGACACCAGAGACACATGAAGCTCTCCAACTCAACTTCCAGAGGCCAAAGCCAACACAAACAAAGCTTTCCAGAAACAAACCTAAACCGAAGGAGCCATCACAAACCGAGGTGAAGAAAGACCCACTTCAAAGACCAAGAATGCACAGGCAGTCTATTTTGTGATCAGTCAGTCGTAAGCAGGCTGGAGGTGAAAAAGTGCACGAGAAAGCTTGCGGAACCGGGCGGAAGTGACACTCGCCATAAACACAAGCTGCAGTCTTGTTTCCAACTCTAATTCCTTCATATGACAAGCTCCAACTTGTCACATGAAGGAATTATTAATTGTAACCTGTTATGGAATGGGAAAGTTTTCCACCACTCTGTGAACTCTGTCCCAAAATTGTAAGCTTGTGGACCACTTGTGGACCACTTATGCGGTCCACTGGTGTGGTCAACTTGTGTGATCAAACTTGTCATATGAGCGAATTATTAATTGTAATCTGTGATAGAATGGGAAAGTTTTCCACCAGTCTGTGAACTCTGTCTCGACATCGAAAGAAAATCCGAATATCCCCCGCTTCGGCGAACCGTTGTTCGTCGAATTGGGTGAGTAAATCCGGCCTGAAAAGTGTGCAAACTAGTCGGAGATTCGTTGAATCGGGGTACATTGAATCAAGGTTGTACTGTAATCCCAAGAAACTAAAACTTCCTGAGTAAGAGAGAAAATAAAGTCATACGTGCCAGACAAGACAGGGCAGGAAAAAAAAAGAGGAGGAAGGAAAGAAAATGCAGGAGGCAGTGCTGAGGTGAAGGCTAGAAATGGAAAACTGCAGGAGCTCCAAAAGTGCAGAAACGTGAACCCCAGGAAAAAATACACAGGAGAGGCAGGCCCGAAGAGCCGAAGCGTGATTCCTGTAAGCACAAGAGGAGTACAGTGAGATAAGTACAAACTTAGCCAAATAACTGCCGACACCTCAGCAGGGATTGCAGGAAAAACAGAGCAATCATGCACCTTCCCACCCCTAACAAAGCAGACATAACCCAAACCAGAGATATGTCACACAAAAAGGAACGACAGTCACCAATAAAAACAAGAGTGCATGAACTAATCGCAAAACGACCCAAAAAGCAAGCACAAACGCCCAGCAGCCATATGTAAACACGACCTGTAGCTGTAGTGCTGCCCTGGCAGCCGGGCATGGAAGTGCCCAGTAGTGCAAAATGGCTTCCAAAACATAAACAACGAAACCGCAGCAAAACATCCAAACCAAAGATGGATGCTCCAGACGGAGGGTGAGTAATTCACGCCAGAAAATATGGTCAGTCCAATGCAGAAGGGTCAAAATATGGTCAAACTAATGCAGGCAAAAAATACCCTTTTCCCTTCACAAGAACCCCAGCTCAATAGGCACAAAGGCCGAAGCTGGAGCAACAAGATCCCAAGTGTTCTTAGCAGACTCCCCTGTGCCCTGGGAACCCCCGACAGAGGCCCCGGGGTAGAGCCCTCCTCACGCCCACTACCCCTGAAGAAAAGGTTGGAGTCTAGGGGAGCAACTTCAAAAAAGGTAGTCTGCCTGATCGACCCAGAAGCCTCGACGGAAAAATTGGGCTCAACCACCTCCGCACCCGGTTCAGAAGGGGTCAATCCCCGAAGCCACCCAAGCCGATCCTCATCCCGAGCAAGACCCTGCCCCTACTCCGAATCCCTCAGATATCTGGGAGCTGGGAGCAGGGTGAACCATGCCCAAATGGGAAGGAAGCGGGAGCTCGGATGGAACCAAGGTCAAAATGACCAACGCCCCCAAATCCTGGTCTCTAAAACCCAAGCAGCGCCGCTCCGGGACTTCCAAATGGGCGACCAACCTGACGAGTTGAGTAAACTGGAGAACAAGTCGAGAAAAAATCCTGTAAGACTTTGGGTCGTAGGTGTCACCGACCCAACAGGCAGCATGACTGAGGCAGTACGGAAGGTCGTCACCCTGAGACAGGGGCAACAAACAACCTTCAACCTCGCACAAGGCAAGAGAGGACTCGGAAGACACGCTCATGGTTACTCCAAGCCTATGCAGATTTCCAGGGTCTGCAGGGGGTGGGGGGGTAGTAATGCCTATGGGTAACCTAGGCACTGGGCTAGCTAAACTGGTTAAACCCTGTCTAATACCAAGCAAACTGGCCACCAGAAGCAGTCGTGGAACCTCGAGGGCACCAGAGGAGGACTACCAAACACAATCTAGGCTTACCTAATAGGAAGCTAGGCAGCCCTCCTCCAGAAGAAAGACTGGAAATAAAAGCAAAACCTCCAAAATCCCATAAACAATCTGACAGCCAGAGAGAATCGTTGGCCGCCGCATGTGTGCAGGCTGCGCAGGCCACAGTGCGCCCTACCCAGCAACAAATCACTCCCCACCCAGGACTATACAAAAATCCTAAGACCCTCGACTAACCCCTAGGGCGAAGTCAATGCCAAGTAACAGAGACCTCTATGGGAGTGAGTTCTGAACGCCCAAGGGAAGATAACCTTGAAATGCAAGGGTAGTACTTACAGGGCACCTAGGGAAGCTGGCCCTAGGTGCATGCAGCCCTGTGTACACAGAACACCTGGCTACCACACACACAGCTGGCACAGCCACACAGGGCAAAATCCAGACAGGAAAGCGAGACCAGAGGCGACTTCTGACCACCATGCACATCAGTCAAGAATGATGAAAGCGCCTCCCCCCTTCCCCCGCTTGGAAGAGGGGGGGGGGGGAAGGCGCCAATGAGTGGGGGCAATAATTGGATGACGATTTGCTGGTTTGTTTGAGCTTGGTTCTGTTCGGACGTAGGTTGCAATTTTCAACAGTTGGGCGTTTGTATTGTTTCGCCTGTCTTTCTGGGTGCCCCTCCCCAATCGATAGCAGACATGACATACTCTAAATGTTGAGTGCTCATATGGCCCTTGCTCCCTGCGCCTCTCTGAGTGAACCAGGTTCTGGCTTGTGATCTCCGGTAGGCATAAAGAACTCCCGTGACTGATGACCCCCAAACTAATATTGCACATATCAGTTTGGATAGCTTCAGGGAGTCAACGGGGGCTCCCCACAGAAATGGGTTATAAGCTTGTCCAAACAGTGTACAAGTACATAATATCCTAATACTGGGTGAGGTGGATTTTATGAGAAACTGGTAACTCATAACAATGACCACTTGAATGAGGAATTCAATATTATCATATATAAAACAGAAATTGACACAAAAGCAGGCTGCCTCATCACTGAAATGTAAGTAACATAAGATGTTAAAAATATGAAATTACAACATTTATCTTCTGCTGCAAACTTACATATATATAAGAAGTGTCAACAGCGTATTATGTGAAAAGACTTGGAAAATGGCATTAAGTGTAAGATCTACCAGTAGTAATGCCAAGGCTGCACCACTTGACCACCGATACTGTTCTATTCGGTCCCGTGCCATCAGTCTTTTCTAAACTGAAAGTAGAGAAAATACAATAATTGTGGGAGACAATTTATTTCTGATAAATAAAAATGGAACTGTATGGTTGTTAGGATAGGTTAACATAAGCTTGTACGAGACAACTTCAACCACACTTCTCATCAAAGACAAGTTTTTGGACACGTGAAAGTTTAACCCTTAAACAGCGCAAATCATATACAGTATATAGGCTTTCAGTGACAAAACCGAAACCGCACATGTCATATATACAGTATATGATTTCGTGTCTAGTGCTATATGTGTCTAGTGCACAAATGTAGATACTGTACTTCTACGTAACACGTGTATGGAGTGTAATAACAGCAATAGGAGTAGGTTGGGAGCCGCCATTTTCGTGAGGGAGGTGCGTCGTCTGCACGACGCACCTTATCATGTTTACTGGTGGCCAATATGGTCTTTGGCCACCATACCAGCTTATTTGTACAGGTATGGTGAATAAAACAGGTAGATACTTATATATAATGTGTGTATATAGCGTAACAACACCACAAACAGTATTGTTGGAGGAGAAATATTAGCGCATCTGGCCTTGAGGGCGGCCGCCACCAGCTGACTATGTGAGTAGCTACGTCTTTGTGCCTTTACTCACCATACAAGCTTAGATGTACAGTTATGGTGAACAAAACATGTAAATACTTATATATAACATCTGTGTATAGTGACTAAATGCAAACACAGTATTGTGGGAGGAGAATGAGGGCAAGTGAGGTGTTGAGGGAGGGAGTGGCAGTGAGTTGCTGGCTGGTGTGTGGCGGTCACTCCTCGTTGCATTTTGACTCACAATGCCAACTTAGTGGTTCGTTATGGTGAGCAAAACATCCAGATACTTATATATAACCTGTGTATATAGCGTAATAACAGCAAAACTATTTGTTTATTGTTTTATGAACATAATAATTGAACCACTAATATGCACACCATAATTTTGAGTACAGTGATGGTTCACACATTTTATTATATAAATATATCAATTCATTGTATTGAATAATATTACTGCAAAAAACTAAGAAAAAATCAGAGACATTGAAATAATTAGGTAATATATTTGTGGCAACTGCCGCTTGACAGCTCGAGCGGAGTAGACCTCGTCTGGCGAAGGCTCTGTCAACGCCTCTTTTTTGCCAGACTTCCCTACCCTATTGTGGCTAAAATATGTCGCCTACGATTTTTTTGTTATTTTTTACGTGATCAGGGAACAAAAATGAGCACTTTTATAAGACAAAAGAATTTTTGGATTTTTTTTTTGCGCCTGTGGATGTTAAAGCCATTTGGACCCCTAGCGGTTTGAGGGTTAAGGGGCCGTCAGTTAGTTTTTTAAAAGTTATTCAATGTCAACCAATATTTTTTGACTATGAACAAATCCCCCAAGCCCTCCCTTCTCTCCCAAACCCCCAAGCCCTCCCTTCTCCCATGCTCCCAAACCCTCCCTTTTCCACCAACCCCTAAGCCCTCCCTTCTTCTCCACCCCCCTAAGCCCTCCTTTCTCCCCCCCAGCCCACCCTCCTCTCCTGCCCCCCCAAGCCCTCATTTTCTCCCCCACAATCCCTCCCTCCTCCCCTACCCTCCCCCAAGACCCCTCTCCCCCAAGCCCTCTCCTCTCCTCTTCCCCATCCCTCTCAAGCCCATCCTTCTACCCCACCCTCTCAAGCCCATCCTTCTACCCCACCCTCTCAGGCCCTTCCTTCTTCTCCACCCCTCAGGCCTTCCCTTCACCCTACCTCTCCATAGCGGATCTTTCCCGCCCCCCCCCCTCTCACAACCCCAGATCCCCCAGGTCCTTCTTCCTAGGCCATCCCATCCCAGACCCTCCCTGTTTCCCTACTCCAGTAAAATCAGCAGAAACTGAAGATGGACAGAAGAGAGTCAGCTTGAAGGTGATGTACTGGAACACAGATGGGATTACAAGACAGGCAAGTGAACTAGGAAAAGAGCACAAGAAGTGAACCAGGATGTAATTGGACTCACTATCAGAAACAAAATTCTCAGGAAGCATAACAAATGCGATGTTTCCCCAGGACTACACTGTAATAAGAAAAGAGAGGGAAGGAAGGGGGGGAGGGGAAGGCAGAGTGGCCCTACTAACGAGAAAGGAATGGAGTTTCAATGACATGAGTATCCCGGGCTGTGAGGGGTTCAGAGACTACATAACAGGCACCATGACACCATGACGGGAGGACCAAGAGTAGTAGTAGTAGTGATGATATATAACCCTCCACCAAACAACAAAGACCCAGGCAAGAGTATGACAGAAACAATATGGCAGTTAACACCATAATTGAGAGGGCAGCCTCTGCTGCCAGTAGAAATCGATCCCATCTGCTCATCATCGGGAGACTTCAATCACGGAAGGATAGACTGGGAAAACAAGGAAACACACGGAGGTGAGGAAACATGGAAAGCTACACTGTTGGAGGTGGCAACAAAAAACTTTTTAATCCAACATGAAAGGGGACCCCCACAATAATGAGAGGAAATGATGAACGAGCGAGATGTGACCTAGTCTTCCCTCTGAACGACTCCAACATAGGGAAATTGGTTTCGAGGCCCCAGTAGGAATGAGCAATCACAGTGTACTGATGTTTGAGTATCAGGTCAAAGAAGGGGTAATGTACTCAAGGAAATGACCTGAAAACAAAAGGCTAGCATTCCGAAAGGAAAACTATGAGGAGATAGGAATTTTCTTAACAGATAAAACATGGGAAACAGAGCTTAGGGAAAAGACGGCCCAAGACATGATGGACTACATCATGAAGAAGTGTAAGGAAGCAGTAGACAAGTTTGTCCCAGTCCGAAAGGAAAAAAATGAAATGCAGACGAGAAATCCATGGTTTAATCAGAGATGTAAGCTAGCAAGGCCACAATGTACAAGGGCATGGAGAAACTATAGAAATAACAGGACACTTGAGAGCAGAGAAAGATACCAGAGTGCCAGGAATGAATACATCACGGTGAGAAGAGAGGCAGAATGCAATACGAAAATGACATAGCAAGCAAGGAAAAGACTGAACCTAAACTGCTGCACAGCCACATCAGGAAAAAAACTAACAGTGACTGAACAAGTAATGAAACTGAGGATAGGGGCAGACAGGTTCACTACAAATGACATGGAAGGGTGCAAGGAACTGAATAAAAAATTCCAGGTTTTCACATTAGAGCAAGGAGAAGTTCCAGAATCATGAGAGGGAATAGTTAACCAGGCACCACTATTAGAGTTTGGGATTACCAGTGGGGATGTAAAGAAGCTTTTGCTAGAGTTGGATGTGACAAAGGCTATAGACCCAGATCGAATCTCACCATGGATACTAAAGGAAAAAGCAGCACTGTGCCTGCTACTCTCCATAGTGTACAACAAATCACTGGTAACAGGTGAACTGCCAAAAATTTGGAAGATGGCTAATGAAGTCTTGATGTACAAGAAGGGGGGGGATAGACAGGAGGCAATGAACTACAGGCCAGTGTTCCTAACTTGCATACCATGTAAGTTGATGGAAAAGATTGTGGGGAAAAAGCTAGTGGAACATCTGGAGCAAAAGAACTTTGTATCACAGCATCAGCATGGGTTCAGGGATGGCAAGTTCTGCCTCACAGGATTAATTGAATTCTATGACCAGGCAACAAAAATCAGGCAAGAAAGAGAAGAGTGGGCAGACTGCATATTTTTGGATTGCCAGAAAGCCTTTGACACAGTACCACACAAGAGGCTAGTGCAACTGCTGGAGATGCAGGCAGGAGTGAAAGGGAAGGTACTCCATTGGATAAGGGAGTACCTAAGTAACAGGAGACAGCGAGTCACTGTGAGGGGTGAGGCCTCAGATTGGCGAGGCATCACCAGTGGAGTCTCGCAGGGTTCAATTCATGGACCTATACTGTTTTTTATATATGTAAATGATCTCCCAGAGGGAATAGAATCGTTCTTCTCATTGTTTGCTGATGACGCAAAGATTATGAGGAGGATTAAGACAGATAAACATAGTATGAGGCTACAAGATGACCTACACAAACTGAATGAATGGTCCAACAAATGGCTACTAAAGTTCAACCTGAGTAAATGTACGGTAGTGAAATTAAATTATATAACCACAGGAAGGAAGCTGGAGGGAGGGAATTTTGAGGTGAAGGTGCCAAGCCATTATGACTATATAGCACCAGTAGTGAAACTAGGCTGTGGAAACAGGAGGCCAGACACAGGATACTGAATGGGAGATGAAATTCTTGAAGAAACGGACAGAGAGAAAGATCTAGGAGTTGATATCACACCAAACCAGTCTCCTGAAGCCCAAAGAATAACATCTGCAGCGTATATACTGCAGATGTATGTTAGCAAGGTTAGCTAACATTAGAACTGCCTTCAGGAACCTGTGTAAGGAATCATTTAGAACCTTGTATACCATATATGTAATACCAATCCTGGAGTATGCGGCCCCAGCATGGAGCCCGTACCTTGTCAAGCATAAGACGAAGCTGGAAAAAGTTCTGAGGTATGCCACTAGGCTAGTCCCAGAACTAAGAGGCATGAGTTACTAGGAAAGACTGTAAAATGCATCTCACGATACTGGAAGATAGAAGCGTAAGGGGAGACATGATCTACCTACAAAATTCTCAGAGGAATTGACAGATTAGATAAGGATAAACTGTTTAACACAAGTGGTACACGAACAAAGGGACACAGGTGGAAACCGAGTACCCAAATGAGTCACAGGGACTTTGGGAAGAGCTTTTTCAGTGTCATGAGTAGTTAACAAATGGAATGCATTAGGCAGCAATGTGGTGGAGGCTGACTCCATACATAGTTTCCAATGTAGATATGATAGAGCCCAGTAAGCTCAGAAATCTGTAGACCAGTTGATTGACAGTTGAGAGGCGGGACTGAAGAGCCAGAGCTCAACCCCCACAAGCACAACTAGGTGAGATCATGTTAGGCTTATAATGAGGTCCTCCCCCACCCCCTAAGGTCGAATTAATGACCCTCCCCAGGATTCAACCCCACAAGCTAACTCCTGGGTATCTATTTACTGCTAGGTGGACAGGGGCATTGGGTGGTAGGAAATGCACTCTCCATGGATTAGAACCAGGAATTCCTGACTATAAGTCAAGAACGAAACCAACTGCACTACTGGGACCCAATGCACATAAACAATTTTGCTTGCAATGCATATACAGTACTTTATTTCATTGAACACTGATTTGCCTCATACAGTGTCTAACACTTTCACGGACCCCCTAACCCGATGTATGGACCCCTTGGAGGAGGGGGGGGGGGGGAGGATCCATGGACCTCAGGTTAAGAAACCGTCCTATTGGGAGGTGTTGTACATGCTGCTATGGGGATATGTTCACACAGAAGATGAGTCACACTGCCCAATAGACTTGCCCAGCGGTTCAAAATTGTAAAGTGTAAATAACCTTGACTATTGTGTGGCTGTCAAGTGCGGCGGCGGACGGTCCATGAACTTGAACCTCAGCTGTTGTTGTGTCGCCATGACAACCACCTTCCACACCCTCAATACCTCCCAGTTATAATTAATATATGTGTTTACGTTTCATCCCTCAAACGAAATAATCAGTTTTATAGTTATCGTGTATCTAAATTTACCATGGAGCTATTTTTAGTGTAATACAGGTCAATTCATGTCAAATATAATTGCATCTCCGAAGAGTGTGGCATCTACCATTGTTTACTAACAACCTCACATGTTTAGTTAACTTCGACTCTATTATATATTTTCATCTGGTCAAATACAAAATAATAATTTAACCATTATATTTATGCAAATTACTTGCATTAACATTGTTATTTTATTACACACGTTTGTGCGCAGAATCCACACTGACCAGATTAATACTTAGTGACATACCATATATATTAATCTATAACTGTGTTCCAGAACCCGGAGTGGGTGTGACCTGGTCAGGTCAACGCTCACCTGACCTGACAGGACCTGTCATGTACAACCCGTGCAACTGGCGTCTGCAGTCACCTTAAGGTGCTCCTCCTCATCATCAGCTGGTCGCCGTCAGCTGCTTGACGCACAGATTACGCAACATGGAGAGTCAGCTGGCGGCACTGCCACAGCCCTCGTCACCCTGACTTGCTTCCACTCCTTCCCTTCTCACCTGTCACCCTTTCTCGGGGGCGGCCCTGCCTCTTGATCTGATCTTCACCTGACCCTGGCCACACTACATGCCTCCTCGCAGACAGTTGGCAGCACAAACCTGTTTGTGCTCCACATGTAAACAACAAGGGAAGTTGGGATCAGCTGTTTGTGTCTTCTGGGATCCATAATCATAGCTTCAGGTTAGTTACAAAAGTTAAGACACCTTAACTGTTGTTGTTGTTAAAGATTCGCAACCTGGAACAAAGTTCCAAGTAGCACGGGCTATGGGGATACAAGACACTCCGTACATTAACAACATCGCACACTAATATTTTTACCACTTCGGACACCAGCATTCGACGTTTCGCATATGTGTACGTGTTCCATATTAAAACGACAATATAATGCTATTAACAATTAAAATCTTATACTTAACAGGCATATAGTTATTAAATGAAATTTAGTGATGTAATAGACATAATCCGGAGTTGGTAAGGACGCCGCCCGCCAGCGTAAACACAACACACCCGAATTCCCACAAACACGATACAACGCACAAAACACAACACTTCTGTCAGTTTTTGGATAAACTCCTTTTATGTTTATAATGTGAGAGTTATACTTGTATAAAATGATAACTATTATAGGTAAGCGCCTAATATTTAATATTAATCAATAAAAAAGAAGTCAGAAGCCACACGCCTGTCTGTACATGTCTTTTGTGTAAAAGTATTTTGGGCGCTCATGTACTTGTGCGCTAGCTGGCGTTCACAACTGTTCTCGCCTGCAAGCATTAGAATTAAACAAACGAATTCATTTTTTCATTTATATACAAGAAGAGAAGGCTACCCTTGAGTCTGTAATATTCATCTGATCACTGGTCTCCCATTTGGTCCTCATTGCTTTATCTTACTATTATTGAATGTGAATAACCGTATTATGCAATTTCAATTTCTTCTATTTCTTTCTTTATTATGCACCCCATACCCATCCCGTGGGCGGTGGTGTAAAGGATTACAGAGGCACATAATCGGTTCAGGAACTGAACCCTCTAGTTCGTTTAGCTAAGCAAATAACAATGTTTGACGCTAGTTACAAAATTATTAATGTTGTATACACATGTACTACACAAGAGGCTCACAACAGTCACTATAAAAGGCACTTTACATCTATAGTGAGTCACACAGTTACTAGTCTTGCTCCACACCCACCCAACTGGGCGGCAGCTTTACAGTCATGTGCTCCATACCCACCCAACTGGGCGGCAGCTTTACAGTCATGTGCATGCATTACCTACAGTAAGCAAATTTTGGATACTTCGCTAAGATTTCGGGCAGCACATCATTATGAATGAAGTACTTACACATTTCATTATGCAACTTTAATAAAGTTGTCCTTCAGCATTTTGTGGTATTCAGCTACCCTTATCTTCTGTATGTTCCTCACATTACCAGTATACACAAACATTGACATGTAGGGATATAGACTCTCAGGTAAGTTAGTAATTTAAATGCACAGTAGCAGTCCTAGGCGTTCAATCCCCGACCATCGTCCAAGTGGTTTGGCACCATTCCTCCTCATCCCATCCCAAATCCTTATCCTGATCCCTTCCCAGTGTTAAATAATTGTAATGAACAGGCACTATATATTATATATACATTATATATATATATATATATATATATATATATATATATATATATATATATATATATATATATATATATATATATATATATATATATATATAATGTCGTACCTAATAGCCAGAACGCACTTCTCAGCCTACTATTCAAGGCCCGATTTGCCTAATAAGCCAAGTTTTCATGAATTATTGTTTTTTCGTCTACCTAACCTAACCTAACCTAGCTTTTTTTGGCTACCTAACCTAACCTTACCTATATATATAGGTTAGGTTAGGTTAGGTAGGGTTGGTTAGGTTCGGTCATATATCTACGTTAATTTTAACTCCAATAAAAAAAAATTGACCTCATACATAGAGAAAAGGGTTGCCTTATCATTTCATAAGAAAAAAATTATAGTAAATATATTAATTTAGGAAAACTTGGCTTATTAGGCAAATCGGGCCTTGAATAGTAGGCTGAGAAGTGAGTTCTGGCTACTAGGTACGACATATATATATATATATATATATATATATATATATATATATATATATATATATATATATATATATATATATATATATATATATATATATATATATATATATATACACATTTAAGTGAGGTGGAAGGGGTGATGTGGCATTAACACAAGACAGAACAAGATGTGGCATTAATAGGGTATTAATTTCATCAACACAAGACAGAACAAAAGGTGGTATTAATAGGGTATTAATTTCATGAAATTAATACCCTATTAATACCACCTTTTGTTCTGTCTTGTGTTGATGAAATTAATACCCTATTAATGCCACATCTTGTTCTGTCTTGTGTTAATGCCACATCACCCCTTCCACCTCACTCAAATGTAGATATAAAATCGGAGATGCGTAAGTTCTATTCAGTTATATATATATATATATATTTTCTGATCAGGGGGAGAAAGATACTGGCAGTATGGGGCTTTAAATTTATTGAAGATTAAATTCTGCAGAACATGTAAATATATAAAGTTTCAAATATATAAAGTAAGTAAATATATAAAGTTTATATTAAACACGTTTTATATTATAGA